TCAGTTTCACGGTACATTTTCTTATGATTCCTATTTCCATTATGGTTTTCACTTTCAAATGACACATATACACAGAAAGAAATGGTAAAAAAAAAGATGAAACAGAGGAAGAGTTGTCTCAGAGGAATTACATTGTTTCCATAATAACATGTTTACAATGCTTCATTCAGTCTACTGTATAAATATGGACTGTATTGATAAGAATTTATGTTTCCACCATTACATCCCCTTTCATCATCCATCACAGTCTAAAGCAAGTGCTGGATGACTTTTACTGTGAGCTGTGATCAGAATTATGTGAAGAAGTCCAGGTGGACAGACATCAATGGATTTACAAAGTAAGTAGGTTATCCAACTTCTCGTCACTTCACATAATGAGAACATGGATGAGAAGTCAACTCTGTGGACATTAATTAGACTCAGTTTTACAACACATACAGGTACAGTCCTATTTTTTCTTAAATGTTTATTCATCAGTCAGGAAATTCACATTCCCAAGTTTGACCCATAGTCTTTCCCTTTTACTCAGCAGACTAAAGTCACGTGGAATGCTTTATTATTCACATCCTATTATTGTATGCATATTAGACTGCATCAAAGAATTCTAAAAATTATTCTCTATGTACAGAGTCAGCTGTGGTAACTGATGAGCCGAATCTTTCACAAACAGCAAACATATGCATTTATGTTCTGCTACAGACTGGTGCAGTCTATGTCACCGTCCTCTCACTTACTCTGTACCTGTAAGTTCTATACAGGAAATACAAAATTACTACAGCAACAGCAGAGGCAAAAACACAACGTACAATGGTTGTCACGCGTGTTGACTCCTCGGGCCTAATGATGTGACCTAGTGTTGGAGCTGGTCCACCTGACAAAGTACAACACAGTTATTCTAACAGATGCACTGAATACAATTTATGTATGTCTGAACAAAACGTACGCTCATTCAAACACATAAATTTTAAGATGCTGATAGATACTCACTCTGTAAGTGGACGCAACAGTTTAACACGATTTCAGCTGTGACATTTTCCTCTCTTTGGACATTTAAGATGGTCACTGACAAGCTATTCGGGGGATCCCATTTACAGCCGTATTGTGACAAGCCACAGAGTTTGGTATGATTTTGGTTTATCCAGGAATAATTTAGAGCTCTACAGTCTGAGCCCCCTTTTGAATTTATGTAACAATTTAGAGTCACATTTTTTCCAAATGTAACATAGTCAGGGTTACTGCAATTAAGTGACACCACTGAAAGAGAAAAAATATTAAAATATTGTTTAATATATTATTACATTTATTCTTCCTTATGTATTTAGAGTTGTCATGCTTTTTGGTACATACTTTTGTACTGATGAGACACTGTTTTGTAGAGCACAGAACAGACTTAACCATTTCCACACACAGGACATTCTGGAAGCTTCACTTCACTCGAAATTACTGGAAAGAAAAAAAAACATATATGAATCAAGAAACAGGGTTTTGCCTGTATATTTGTTTTAAATGAAAAAGTCATCTCAAAATCTGATTACTGGCTTGATTACATCATTATTGTAACAATGCTTCATGGCAGTAAATCTTATATGGTTTATTCCCCTTATGTCATGGTCCTGGGCCATGTGGGCCCAGTATTCTTAGTTTTCATGTATTTTTGTATTTTGTTCTTTATTTAGGCCATGCTTCCTGGGTTGATCTGTTACGTTGTTCCTTATGTGTTTTCCCGTTGTGACTCTCACCCCCTGTGTGCCCCTCTGTGTATCTGAGCCCTCGTCTCTCCTTATGTTTTATTCCATGTTTCCCCTGCCCGTTATGTCTAAGTTCTCCCCGTGCTCTCTCTCCCCCCTGTGTGCCCTCTGTGTATTTATGAGCCCTCGTCTCCCTTTGTGGTTGTTTCATGTTTCCCCAGCCCGTTATGTCTGTGTTTTCCCCGTGCTCTCTCCCCTCCTGTCTGAACCTCTGTGCACTTCCTGTTTACTTTGTGACTCTCACGCCTGTACATGTCATGTTCAGTTCACCCCGCCCTGTCTCGTTATGATTATCAGCGTCACCTGTGTTCCCCGTGTGTTCCCACTTTCCTCGTTAACCCTCTGTGTATTTCTGTCTGCGTCTCCCTCTGTTCGGCGTCGCGTTCTCCCTCATGCCGTGTGTGGTTCTCCCCGTGTCTTCCGGTATATGTTACTTTAGCTTTTCCCAGTTTAGTGTAGTTTTGCATTGCTTTTGTATCATCGTTATTATTTATCACCTGTCAGCAATAAAGCTGCATTTTGAGTTTATCCCCCGTGTCTGTGAGTTTGCAATTTGGGTCCTCATCCTGCCTGCCACACGGCCGAATCATGACACCTTAAATGGTGCAACATTTGTCAGTCAAATGCATTTTTGGGTTGAGCAGCAGAGTTGAGCATGTGGATTGGTGGATATTCTCCACCAATGATAAGTCTGAAGAAACACGACATACTGGCAATTGAACCCTATTTATATGAAAGAACCAAACACAGCCACAACAGCCTTGCACCTCTTCTTCACTACCTTGGTCACAAACTGCTGTAGAATCCCATTCTTCAACAAGCATTCATTGCAAGTCAGCCAGTGTGGTTGAGTTGGTCACTCTGATATGAACAGCACGCCCAGGCTGATCCCACAAGTGTTCAAAAGGTCAAGTCTGCAGGCAGGCCATCCTCTCCACTCGCAAATACACATCGCTAAACATAATGTTCCTCTGCATAATCAGGTTAGAGTGCACATGTTGCTGACACCAGCGCAAACAGGTCTGGCCGTGAATCATGACAAGCCTTATGAGGCTGGACACTGACTATGAGCAGATTGTTCTGGACTGTCTGTGTCCAACGCTGTCGGCTAAATCTTGCCTATGGTTCATAAGTGATGACGGGTTGAGGAAATGGTGTCATTTTCTTGGGTTGCCCACTTTGCAGCCTTGTCTCTGATATAACCTGTTATGTAGAACATAGTTTCAGTTTGGAGATGCTATGAGGGCTCAATCCAAGTAATGCTGCAACTTGCCAGCTTGAAGTTGCCCTATAGCACAGACCCTATTCAGATCGGTGAAACATGGCATACTTGGAGCGGACACCAGCCGAGCAAGTATACTGCTACAGGGATATGCCAATAAGATTTATTGGCATTAAGCGTTGTTACAACAAAGACATAATTGGCCAAACACAAATGTCCTTTATGCTAAGTTTAGTTCATGTTTCTTTGAGTTGTAGTCTGCAAGTATACTGTATACTGATTACTGAAAATACAGATTTAAACATTTCTCATATTTGAGAGTGCAAAAGAAACAGCAGAGATAAATACTAGAAACAGTTAAGTGCAAAGATAGCATGCAAGCTTTCTGTTCATTTTAGTTTTTCCCACATTTCAGCACAAATACATAGATAACTTCAATAACAATAACGGTAACTGCTCTCCTTTAGTGTAACATTTTATAGACTTCACAGAAGCAGCAGCAGAATTCTCATTTATCTCTGCCCATAAATATGTTATTGTGTAACAGTCCTCAGAGGATTTGTAATTAACAGATTTTTTATTGCCAGAATAACTGGTCAGTTTCCAGATAAAAGAGAATGCCTGTAAATGTGACATCTAATCACATATTGTGCAAAAACAGGGCAAAAAGTTTAGTAGTTATTGTAAGAAACACTAAATAACAAAATGTAATAAATTTTGTTTAAATTAGTTCGTCTCTTTACATAATAAGAACTTTTAATTTTGATACTCAGCATTTTACTTTTGTAAACTTAATTTTCTTAAATAAAACTTTGTGAGCAATTTAGGTTATCTAAACAAATCTATTTGCATTATTAGACTTGCATTGCACATAAAAACATGCATATGTTTCATGACTTTGTCAAGGGAAGAAAAGCCAAATAACACTAGCATGAAGAGAATTTTGTTAAAATATGTAAAAGAAGCAGTAATACTTGGTAGAGAACTTCTCTCTTTGAAGAACATTTGAAAAGGAGTCATAACAAACAGGGCAGATTAGGTCAGTGGTGGCAAACATACAGCCCGTGATCCACATCTGGTCTGTGAGATAATTTCAGTTATTAATTAATAGCCATCAGCCCTGCTGAGACTTTATTTTGACTTTATTTTGAACACCATTCGGCCAATCAGATGCAGTGGTAGACTGGGCTCATTATGTGAGAGAAGGAAGGGGGGCAGATGTTCAGCAATGACAGCAAGTACAGTGGTTCAGTCCAGGAAATAAAACCCCAAATATTTCATCTGTGACATTTGCAAAGTTAATTTAAATACGGTCATTTTTATTGTGCTTGGCCAACAGTATACATAAAATAATGTCTCGTGTTAACCCGGTGATATTCTCATGCATGAGGTGACTTCAAAAACAGCAAAAAAAATAAAAAAATAAAAAAATAGAGAGGATAAGTGAACTGTCACCATGAACATTGATGATGTTCCTCTGACATTAAAAATAGATACTGGACCATATGTGACTGTAAGAAGTGAAGAAACCTTTAATACACTTCCTAAAGTCTATAATGTTTAAAGGGCAAAATAGCAGTTTACTCAGCAGATGAGTGGAAAACATCAGTACTGTTTTGGTACAAGTAGACTATGAAAAACTGAACCAGTTAAAATAATTCTTAAACAAGATGCACAGCCATATGCAGTTCACGCAGTCAGACGAGTACCCAAACCTTTCATGCCTCTTGTGAAAAAGTAACTGCTGAGGCTTGAAAGTGAAGGGATAATAAAAAAGATGATGGTTCCAGTGTGTTCCAGGTTCCAGGTGTTCTACCTGTGGATATGTTTGAATCGATCATGGAAGCTTCACCGTCTTTTGAAACTACATGAAAGAATTTTTAAAAACTTTTTTTTGTATGCCACTTGACCTAAAGGTTCACCTAACACAGATTCTCTTTAATCCTTTCAGGGAGAAATGCTCGTATGGGTCATTTCAGGAGGCTTGAATGGTTTCAAATGGGATGAAAAAAAAACCATGACACATTTGATTGAAAGACTTGTTACAAGTTGAGTGTATTTTGAACAAAACACTGTTCAATTTTACACAGTTATTACATTTACAGTTATTTTGTAGTGACAAGTGACTCTTTTAACTCCAGCATTAGGTGTTAGCTGTAAACATCTATAAACACAACACTGACATTTAATTTTGGGCTAACATCTTAACAAACAGTGGTTTACACGTAGGCCTGGAAAAATATTACCAGTCAATCTTCCTTTTGCTCTTTTTTTGCTCTCTGTCATTTCTGAAGGAAGTATATGTCTGATAATGTGCCAACCAATGTGCAACAAAAACAGCAGCACTGTAATGATGTAACGATGTGGACGGACTGTCTTGCCACAGTCTTTGAGTTTACTTGAGTTAACATATAATAATGCTACACAGGTGGCAAAAAATCCATGTGTGGAACAGGGAAATGCATTATCCACAGCCCACGAGAGTCCCATCTGTCCATTCATTCATCCATCACAGCCTAAAGTAACAGTTGGATGATTTTTACTGTGAGCTGTGGTCACAATTATGTAAAGAAGTCAAGGTACAGAAACATCAGTGGATTTACAAAGTAAGTATGTAATCCAACTTTGGATCATTTCCCTATTATTAGATCGTGGATGATAAGTAAGCAAAATTGACCTGATGTTCACACAATGTCAGAGCTGTGACAAATCTGTGGACATTCATCAGACACATAACAGGTTCAGTCCCAAATGTTCTTAAATTTCCCCAAAATTGTTTCATTTTACTGAGCAGACTGAAAGTCATGTGAACGCTCTGTTATTCACATCCTGTTATTGTATATCTATATATTGTATATAAGACATCAAAGAAGTCTAATAAAAAAAAGGTTAATAAAAAACAAACAAACAATATGATGATCAAAGAGTCAGCAGTGATGAGCAGCATCTTTTACAAATGGAAAATATGTCACATACATTCATATACATTCATATTCCCCTCGCACTGATAAACAATCATACAAAGAAAAAATACATTTTTAAACAACCGTGAAGTCTTTACTGACTGGTGCAGTGTATGTCACTGTCCTCTCTCTTACTCTGCGTCTGTAAGTTCTATACAGAAAATACAAAATGAACACAACTACAGCAGAGGCAAAAACACAAAGTACAATGGTGGTCACGCGTGTTGACTCCTCCCGCTGCCTGCTGTGTCCTGTTCCTGGACCTGATTCACGTGTGGAAGTGGAATACAGTTATTCTAACTGAATAACATTTGTTACAATATGTAACAATCTACAATGGTTAAGTCGTTGTCTTTCAGCTTACCGTTATCTGGTGGTGTTGTTGGTTGGAAAACGTCCGTTTTTGGATCTGGATAGTAAATTGCAGTTATTTTAACAGTGGCAATGAAAACAATTTATTCTGGATATCTGAACTAAACATACACTCACCAATGATTAGCTGTACTCTGACAGGAAGTGATTTCACCATTCCACAGATTGACACGATTTCAGCTGTGACATTTGCCTCTTCTTGGACATTTGAGATGGTCAGTGACACATAGGTAAGGGCATCCCATGCACAGGTGTATTTTGTGGCATCAGTTTCACATAGTTTGTTGCCATTTGTGTTATGCCAGTCATACTTTTGACCAGTACACACTTTCCCTCCAAAAGTCGAAGTTATGGAACAATTTAGAGTCACATTTTCTCCAGCTGTAGCACTGACAGTGTTGTTGCAATTAAGTGACACAGCTGAAAGAAAGGAAATATTTGATGTTCAATTTCTTCTTCCTTTAGAGCGGTCATGTCTATTAGTAACATATCTGGTACAAGCAGTATAGAAATACCTTCATCTGATGAAACACTTCTTTGTAGAGCACAGAACAAACTCAAACATGTCAACATGTACAACATCCTGGAAGCTTCACCTCACCCCCAACGGCTGGAAAGAACAAAGTCATTACTGCAGGTTCACTTAAAGTCATGCTGTTTTAGAAAACACAAGAAACATGTTCTCTTTGACACATTAAACATAAAGTAAAATGTGCTTATACCTAAAAATTCATTTAAACTTCTATCATTTGAGAATGCAAGAAAAACAGCAGCGACAGTAACATATGATTATAATAGTTCTATTAAGACATAAACGGACATATCAGCAGTGTTACACACATTGTATCTTCTGTCACATGTGGAGTCACGCTTCCCACTTTAGTTTGCTGTGAAAACCAAACAATTGCGAGATTGACAAGTTTGAACAGCTCCACAACAGCTGCCAAGAATGTTGGTTCAAACAGGAGCTTCTGTAGGTCATGTGCCATCATCAAGTCGCGTGGCACTGCTGAGACCAGATTCATAGCTTTGCAGACTTAAAACAGAAAACTTTACAGGTGTTAACGGACAAAATGGACTGTTTGGAATAATCCCACCTCTTTTTTTTAGTGTCACATTTTATGTGCTTCTGAGCATATGTGTTCGGTACATTCTTCTGTATTCTGTAAGACTCCCCAGATTAGGATGACTTAATATTGTTAAACAGTCTCCTGGATGACAGTGAAAAGCACCCAAGAAGCATTTTTGGTGGTTTTCCCAATAAAAGCAGATTCATATTCTGACACTTTATGCTTCTGCATTCATGGAGTGCTGCAGTTATTCTAGTACTTCCTTATTAATATTCTTCTTTCTCCTTTTTGCCTGGAAACCCGTGTTACCTGTTAGCTTCCAGCTACAAGTGGCTTATCAATTACAGCTTGTCAGATGCAGAAAGAAAAACAGAGGAAAGCATTTAGTAGTAAGGTGTAGAAACTGTAAATCACAAAATATAATAATTTTTGTTTAAACTAATAAAATGAATTAATTGTTGCATTCACTTTTTTTTATATAGATAGATATAGTAATAAAAATTTAGATACCCCAAATGAGCCTTTTTACATAATAAGCACTTTTTATTTTTGTTAGTCAAAATTTTGCTTTTGTAAATTTCTTTAAGCATTAAGTAAAGAAGTAACTTTTACTATGTGAGCAATTTGTTGAAGGTTTTCTAAGCAACATTATTTACATTTAAATGACTTGATTACCCTGATAAAAAGATGCATATGATTTATAACCTTTTTTGAAAGAAAACGAGACTGTTAACAATTACCAGCATGTAGAATTAGTTAAAATAGATAAAAAAAGGATTAATACTTACTTGGTAGAGAACGTCTCTCGTTGGACAACATTTGTGAATGAGTCGTAAAAAATCAGGGCAGATTAGATTATCCGGTCGAGGTGACACATGATACCAGGGGGAGTTTCTTGCAGGTGAAATGAAACTGCCTGCAGAGATTACAAGACTCATTGGCAAAGAAGAATGGAAAACAAGAAGCAAACACATTCCTTAAAACAGGGTCTAAGGTGACACTTTTCATTTATGAGAGAACAAATGAACTGGATCTAAATGCTTTTTTCTTCGTCAGTGAATAACACTGGCTTGAAATGATTTTTTAGATTTTACTAAAAGTTTGGTTGGTAGATTAAAAAACAGACGGAATTCAGAAACTAGTTGTGAGGCCTTTCAGGTAAGAATAAAAGAAATAAGCAAAGGTTAAAGACATTGCTTTCTAATGAGAATGCTGTTATTAGTTTCATTCTTTTATTTTCATATATTATATTTTTTAATCAGCATATAATACAAATTTGTATTGAACATAAGTTGTAGTCTTGTTTTTATTGCTAATGCCAGTTTAATCAATCCATCCACGTATCCTCTTCAGGGTCACAGGGGGTGCATGTCTTTGGACGGTGGGAGGAAGCCGGAACTCAGGACCTTCTTGCTTTGCAACAACAGTGCTACCCACTGTGCCACCATTCACTTTAATTTATTAGTTAATTTAAAGGTAAAAGAGGGAACTCATACAGACTTAGCTGTCACACATTTTTGCTTTGAGTTTTTTTCATACCTTCACGTGTACACTACCAGTCAAAAGTTTGGACACACCTTTCCTTTAATGGTTTATCTTTACTTTCATGACTATTTACATTGTAGACTCTCACTGAAGCCATCAAAACTATGAATGAACACATATGGAATTATGTAGTAAATAAAAAAGTGTGAAATACCTCAAAACATGTTTTATGCTTTAGATTCTTCAAAATGTCCACCCTTTGCTTTAATCACTGCTTTGCACACTCTTGGCATTCTCTCGATGAGCTTCATGAGGTCGTCAGCTGAAATAGGTTTCCAACATTCCTGAAGAAGTTCCCAGAGATGCACTTGTTGGCCTTTTGCCTTCACTCTGCGGTCCATCTCAAACCGAACCTCGATTGGGTTTAGGTCAGGCGATTGTGGAGGCCAGGCCATCTGGCGCAGCACTCCATCACTCTCCTTCTTGGTCAGATAGCCTTTACACAGCCTGGAGGTGTGTTTGGGGTCATTGTTGAAAAATAAATGATGGTAGAACTAAACTGGATGGGAAGGCATGTTGTTGCTGGGTCAGTGTGCCTTCAGTTTTGAATAAATCTCCAACAGTGTCACCACCAAAGCACCCCCACACCATCACACTTCCTCCTCCATGCTTCACGGTGGGAACCATGCAAGTAGAGACCGTCCGTTCACCTTTTCTGTGTCGCAGACAGACACGGCGAGTGGAACCGAAGATCTCAAATTTGGACAAAAACACAGATTTTCACAGGTCTAATGTTCATTCCTTGTGTTTCTTTGCCCAAACAAAGCTGTTCTGCTTGTTGCTTTTCCTTAGCAATGGTTTCTTATCAGTGGTTTTAGACCATAAAGATCTGATTCGCACAGTTTCTTCTGATCAGTTGATGTAAATAAGTGTCTGCTCCTGGAACTCTGTGTGGCATTTATCTGGGCCCTAATCTTTGTCACAGCGCTTAATGGTTTTTCGCCACTGCACTTGAGGACACATTCAAAGTTTTAGCAATTTTCCGGACTCACTGAGCTTCAGTTCTTAAACTAATGATTCAATTCTATTTATCCAGAAACAAATCACAGCAACAGTCACCTCAAGGTGATTTATGTTGCAAGGCAGAGACCCTACAATAATACATACAGAGAAAAACCCAACAATCACATGACCCCCTATGAGCAAGCAGTCAGACTGTTGTTTCTCTTTACTTAGCTGATTGGTTCTCGCCATAATATGAATTCTAATCGCTGTCAAATAGGGCTGTCAGCTGTGTACCAACCTGACTTCTGCACAACACATCTGATGGTCTCACAATGAACCTTGAGAAGGCACACATGTGAAGTGAAAACCATTTCATTTGACTACATCACAAACCTCACTGAAAGAAGGCCAAGGGTTTGCAGCGCCGTCAACAAAGCAAAGGGTGGCTGCTTTCAGGAATCTAAAATATAAGATATATTCAGAGTTATTTATCAGTAGTTTTGCTTTGCTGCATAATTCCATATATCCTGCTCTCTATATTTGATGTCTTCAGTATGTATCTACAATGTAGAAAGTAGTAAAAATAAAGAAGAACCATTAAATGAGAAAGTTTGACTGGTAGTGTATTCATTTTTGACCGTTTATCCTCTCAATAAAGCGTGAAGCTGACATAGAGTTAAAGACAACCATACACCCCCACAAACATGCCCATAACCAGTTTAGAATCACAAGTTAAACTGCCAAACATGCCTTTGGAGGATACCAGAGTGCTGGGAGGAAATGCCACACAGGCACAGGGAGAACAAAGAAACGTAACAAACAACAGCTCTGACCTGTTCACAAACTCTGCAGAAAAAGTGCCAGCACTAAACAATGCACCGCCATTCACTGCATTTGTAAAACAGAAACCACTTTGAACAGATTAAACAAAACTCAAATGTATCCTTTTATTATTCACAAAGGCTTTTATTTAACATTACCATTTTCTTGCAGGATGACTCAACCCTACATGATAAATCTACATGACTGATGTAAAAAAAAAAAAATCCAAAACAAACAAACCAGCAGCTGAAGCTAATGTGTGCGGAACCACACAACTGCAGAGTCTTTTGACTCTAAGCTACTTTTCTGGGTAAAGGTGATAAAAAACTCCAGGAAGTCATCAACCTTGCTGCCGGCTTGTCATTTAAATCCTCACAGAGCTCCCTGCAGCAGGTTTTACATTCCTCTTTTTTTTACAAGTGAAATAGGTGCCAAAGCAGGTGTTGCATAAGAAATCTCACGGAGAGAACAGAAACGTTTACTCATGACTGCAGCGCTGATGCTGAGCCAAGCTATTTCGATTCAGTTCACTTTTACTGACAGAGTGCCAATCTCATCAACAATCTAATGTGTGATCTAAATCTGTGCTGAACGCCCTCTGAAGGAACTTAATCTTATTCGTTTGCCAGTTTAAAGACAGGAAATCGTCCACAAAATCACAAACAAGTAAATATCAGCAGCACTAATGTTGTTGAGTTGTAGTGGAAGCCAGATGCTAAAAACACCTTTTTGTACCAGGTAAATATACTTATTTTGATTCTGCATTTGAGCATGCTCATGCTAACCAAGACGCACACTCAAGAAATGAAAGAGGAAACTGCATTTCCTCGGGGTACTTGCGAATGTTAGCTCGTGACATACATTCTAGCCTCGCCTCTAAATATTTATGCGGGCCAAGGAGGTAGCACTGAAGCTAAAAACGCAAAACCCAAAACAAATGGGCGACATAATGGCGGCTACATCAACTTCAGCATCATCAGAGTGTCTACACTGAAATGAGACAGCTCTTGTTTCAGAGAGGTTCAGACTTTTTAGAGCTTCACATGACAAATATATGACAGCGGGGGAGATTCTAAGTTGAAACTTTTATGCATGCAGGGCCTTGTAATTTATGTTAATGAAATATGCTGTTTGCAAATGTAATCAGCCTCATCATCAAACCTCAACTCAACTGAATAAACATTATAAGACTATCTTGAAAAGCAACCTAATCAGCTGGATGACCTATTGTAGTGTCTAAGAATAATTCAGAGTGAATAATCAGACATTTCAATCTCATCCACCCTTTTCAGGGTGGAGCCTTTAGTTACCATACCCAAGGCAAGGGCTCAAGGTAAAGAACTATTTGTGGCAAAGCAGATCAGATGAGATACACGCACAACATGAGTGCAGTCTCATATTTACACAGAATCACATACAAATCATTGAGCACTTAAAGTAGCATTAATCAGTACAGACACTAGAAACTCAGGCTGCCATTCAATATACCTGTACATGAAGTAAACTGGTAATAGAGTTGCTTTATATTAAAGTTTCTGAATTCATTCTGTACAAACCCTTGTTTTATTAATTAAACAATGTTTTTTTTCACCTCACTCGTTCTTTCTGTTCTTCCACAACCTCTTGTCCTCTCTCTTTCCATCCTCGTCACTTAACTAGAAACTGGTCTCCACACACCTTGTGTGAATCGCACACTTGTTCCTGATGACTTTGCTGCTTCATAAGGAAGGGTTATTCTTTACTGTAGCAGTGAAGCCTGGTATGAACTTTTGTGGTGTTTTGTTTCTTATTGTGAGGACTTGGTAATGGCCAAATGAAGCTTTCTGCAGCACCGGCTCATGTATTGAAAAAGGTTCACTACTGAAGCTTTTCAACACATGCTTCTTTGGTGACATTTGGTGGCCACAAATATGAACAGCAGCTTTAATCCACAAATGAAAAGGAACTGCTGTATTATGATTGCCCACTGAGACATGCTGATTTGCCAGCCTATATTTAATATCATGTGACATTCTGTGACATCAGCCTGACTTTGCTTGTGACTTCCTGACGTTTGTAAACAAATAGATAAAAATGACATCATATATAACGACATATCACAAAGTATTATAACAGGTTGGACTATGCTTCTGCTGTTAGGTAACTGCCTCAACGTGATTATGTAATTAATTTGTGCATTTATATATATTATATTCTAACTCTTATGTATAGTGTATTTGTATGTATGTTTTGGACCCGGGGGTACACTTGCTTATTAACTAGTAAAATAAAAACATAAAATAAGGTTATTCTGTTTGTTTTTTTCCTCGCTGACTCTGTCTCTCAATGTCTTGGTTTTCTTTTGACACATGTGCCGTCAGCTCAGCTTCAAACGGAGCCGTGTTTTTGACCAGTTCCTCAAATCCAGACAACTTCGCCCCTTGGCTAAATGG